TCCTGCTGCCCCTATTCAGCCAGATCCATATACTGATCACCGAGTACAGAGAACATGCTCCTTGGCTACCTCCTCCTTGGTATAGTGAATTAGAAGATAAAGTCTAAGCCCTCACTGGGGCCTAGCATCCAGGTAGCCTGGGCATGTACCCTTGTGATACATGGAGTGACAGCCTGAGGAGGGAATAACCACAAAGACAGGCATCTTCTCACCCTCCTCCCCCCCCCCCCCCCCCCGCTCCCACCATGTGCTTCTTCCAGGAACATCTGTACTGCTGCTCATCATAGCCAGCTCAGCCCTTCAGGAACCAGGCCTTGAGGGTAATACTGCTTCCAGTCCTGGTACAGGAGCAGTCTGGTTAGAAAGGGTGTCACCACAGTGTGGTTCCACATGGCCCCTAGCTGCCAGCCTGGGGGATGAGCCACATCTTTCATAGCTCTTAGGTAGAACCCTCAGCACCTGAGTAGCCAGATAGTTTGAGGATGCTTTGGATTTGCTGCTGCCTGTGAGCTATGGGATATCTCCAGGCTTTGATAGAGAGCTTAGAAATAAATATCAGATGATCTCAAACCAGAGGTCTTTGAGGGAACATTCTTGGAGGCCTTGTGGGGGGGGGGCGCCTCCTGGAGATAGCTCAGACTGGGCTCTTGGGATCTCTCTGGGCTATTATAGCTATTTCCAGAGTTCTGGATGGGCAATTATAGGGTGAAAGGATCTGAAATGAATTTCAGTCACAGCCCTCTCTCTTAAAGAGTACTTGGTAAGTTCTGTTAGCATCTTCCATTCCTTGCCTCCAAGTCTGTCTGAGCTAGTGATGCCTCTTAAAGCCAGGGCTGGGGCCGAGGGTCTTGAAGGCTAGTGCAAACAGCTTTGGACAAGGGTGGGAATTTCCACTCCTATCTAGAGAACCATCAACGTTGTGTGCCCTGACCTGGGCCTTTGGCCTCCAAAGGGCAGTGGGAAGGCCGGCCCCAGGGCCAATCCCTGGCCATTAATCCCTCCTGCCAGCCCGAATATCCACCCAGTGTGGTCAGACAAAGGACTGCCCATCCCAGCTACTGTGTTCCTCCCGCCCCAGGGGCTCCACTCAGACGCTGGGCCGCCTGGAATCCAGGCCCATGAGAAAGGGGCCACCTTCACTGGCCGTCTTATGCCCGGATGCTCAGCCGCATCACGTCCGGCCCAGGGCCTGTGAAAAGAGGGCCCAGCCACGCTGAAAACACGGATTAGCCCTTGGGCCGCCCCCTGATACCAGCTTGCTCCACTCTGGGAAGCAGGCCCAATGGACAGGGGTTAGGCAGGCACAAAGAACTGACAAAGTCTGGGTTCTCAGCCCTGTGACCTAGCTCCTCATCCCCATTGTCTCAGAATTAGGGTAGCCAGCCACATACTCAGAAACATTTATTGAACATATATTATGTCCCAGACTATACACATGACCTGAAGAATCACAGGCACCTTCAAAAGAACCTGTAGTGAGCCATAACATGCGATGACAGCCAATTTCCTCCTTGGAGGTACGACATGGAGGCTGTGGCAGAGGCTTGGCTGGAGAGGCTTCATCCCTAAGGGAAGGTAAGAAAGCCAAAGTCTCCATCAATACTGGGTCTGTGTTTGAGTCCAGCTGCACATAACACTGTACCTGGCTGGAAAGGTGTCCTGCAGCCTCTCTCCTGTCCCCTTGGCTAACACAGGAAAAAACAAACAAAACATGCTCCTTATCATGATCCGAAGCAGGCCAGGCCCTCTCCACAGTCCCTTGCTGTGGAGACATCATTGCTTTCACTTGGCAGTGAAGAAAGAGCTGTGAACTAGAGATGGCCTTGCTCATGTGGCTCTGGGAGCCATACTTCTGCTGCCACAGTGGCTTGTCTTGCTCTCTCCTGCGGTGAGCTGTGCAACGTGATTGTACTGTCTGTGTTCCAGGTGGCCTATGCTGACACAGGATGAAAGGTAGAGAGGGCAGAAAGAGCAGGGTCTGTTCTGACACAAACATCCTTGTTTTGTTTGGGACACTGTCTGCTTCTCTTTCCTTTCTGCTTCCTCAGTCCCCACTCCACCCCCCAGCCCCCATCCACTTCTCAGTGTGTAATTGTCCATCTCTCCTTGCCCTGAGCGTTGGCAAAAGGCCTGGCTCAGAAGCTTTTGGTGAATGAGGCAGGCTGAACTGAGTCCACAACTGAAGGAGAAACTGATTTAGGATCTGTGTGGCCTTGACAGGATGTGGCAGTGGCCTGGGTGCAGGGACTCACTCAGAGAAGTGATGTCTACTTGTCAAGATCTGGAATGTTGACAGGAAAGCAGGTTGGGGCTTCCCTGCCCTCCCACTGTGTGTGTGTGTATGTGTGTGTGTGTGTACATGTGTTCATTTAGAACATGGAATTGAAAGGGGAGGGGAGGAGAACATGTGGGACTAGAAAGATTGAGTCTGGGGCTGAAGAGATGAGAACAAGAAAAGAGATACCACAATAGAGGGAGCCATTATAGGTTTGAAGAGAAAACTGACTCTAGAGAAATGTCCAGAGACCTACAAGACTGATCCCAACTAACAATCTGAGCAAAAGTGGAGAGGCTACCTTAAATGCCCTTCCCTGATAATGAGATTGATAACTAATTTATATGCCAACCTAGAACCTTCATGTAGTAACTGCTAGAAACAGAAGTAGACACCCACATCTAAACACTGAACCAAACTCCTGGAATCCAGTTGCAGAGAGGAAGGAGTGATAAGAAAAGGGGTCAAGACCAGGCTACAGAAACCCACAGAAACAGCTGACCTGAATAATGGGGAGCTCATGGATTCCCCAGACTGGTAGTTGGGAAACCTGCATTGGACTGACTCAGAGCCCCTGAACATGGGTCTCAGTTAGAAGGCCTGGGCAGTCTAAGGGACCTCTGGCAGTGGAACCAGGTTGTACAAAATGTGCAGGAAAGGACTTTGGGAGCACATTCCCCATGGAGGGATACTCCCTTAGCCTAGAGGCAGGAGGGAGGGCCTAGTCCCTACTCCAAATGACTGGACAGATTTTGATGATCCCTCCTGGAAGGCCTCACCCTCCCTGTGGAGTGGGTGGGGAATGGGATGGTGGGGGGGGGTCAGAGAACATGTGAGGGATGGAGAAGGAACTGGGATCAATATGTAAGAATATTAAAATATATTTAAATAATAAAAAAGAACATGGAATTGAGATGTTTTGAGACATCTGTGTGGTGATGCTCAGTGGGCACCTGGATCTGTTGACCAGAAGAGAGACTGGGAGAGAAGTAACTTTGGCAGCTAAAGTGGGGCAAACTGTTATTTATTTCTGAAGTCTTTCTCTTTTGTGTGTGTATAGTATGTAAACGATGTGCATATGTATAGGGGTGAGTGTGTACTTGGGGGACACCCATGTGTGTCGGTCAGAGGACAATCTTAGGTATCAGTCCTCACCTTCTACAGGGTCTCTTGTCCACTACTGCCTCCTGTAGGCTAGCTGCCCCACGGCTTCTGAGGATTCTCTTGTCTCTGCCTGTCTTGTCATTAGTGCTGGGGCTACTAAGACACTGCTGAGTCCAGCTTCATATGGGTTCTGAGGTTCTGAAGGTGGGACTTTACATTTGCATGCCAAGTCCTTTGTTCATCAAGCCATCTCCCCAGCCCATGGAGATCGCCATACAGCCTAGCCTTTAAGTGACCTCAGTCTCTGGGATCACATGTCTGCCATCATGCTCAACTGAAGCTTCCACTGTAAGGGATGGTGTTAGAAGTGTGGTGATGAGGACTGGGTTTCATTCCCATCCTGACACTACTAGCTGTGTGAGGCGAGGGATACTACTTAACCTCTCAGAGCACTGCTTTCTTCATTCAAGCAATGGGGATTATAATAGCTCCCAGAGAAGCTTAAATGCCAATGAGACATGGTATTTACCAAAACCAAAATACTACACAGTGGTGGTTGTGATGTTACCAGCTGGGAGTACAGCTAAGGGGGAAGCCCCTGAGCTCCATGTTTGAGTTTGGAATCTGTCATGCTAGGGTCACAGGTCACCCGAAGGGAGATTTGGTCATTTTCAGGGGGATAATGTATCCCCTGACTGTATCAGGGATGGGGTCTGTAGGCCCAAATTTCTCAAGGGCTGACTGTACTCCAAAGACAGTAAGAGCCTCTAGAACTCAGCCTAGCAACCCTTCACTTACCTCTCCCATCCCTGCTCCATCTCACTTCGACTGATCTTGTCTGTCTGTCTGTCTGCTTTAAGATAAGGCTCCTTCACCCTTTGGCTCCCTCTGTGTGGTAATGGAGGATGGTATTTTAACAATAACTCTCCCATCTCTCCACCCCTAATGATAGTGTTTGCATCGGAGAGCAGTTCCTTCAGCCCTTCACTCTGTGGAAGCATTTGGGGGTATGTGCTTTTGGGGGTGTCTTACTTTAAAGCAGGTGGACTACTCCCCCCCCCCATTTTATATCTTCAAAGAAAGTTCACAAGGCCCAGCTGGAGTTGGTGATGGATAAGGATGAAGGAGGTGCAGCAGGGAAGGAGTTAGACTGTCCAAATATCTTCCTCTACAACAAAGGCAGCCTGGTTCTGTGCTATCTTCTATCACCCTTGCTCTGGTTCTCTACTGTCCAAAGGTAGCCCGATGCTTCCCTGATCAGCCACCTAGGGTGCTGAGGGCTAGCAAAGACTGCTGGAGCAGAGACTGGATGTACAAGGGAGGGTGAGGGGTATCTGGCCGCTAGAAGGCACAAAATAGGGAGAGGGCACTAGAGTGTGCTGAATGGGTGGATTTGTCATTGGGATTGACCCAAAAGGGCGGGGGTAATGGGAGCAGGGCGACCAAATGCCACTGAGCAGGGATGGGGCCAAGACTGACTCAGGGATGAGGCAGGGTCTGAGAAAATTGACCCAAAGGGACTAGACCAAGGGAGGGGGATGCTAGAGGGGGCTGGGAAAGCAAATTAGAGGGCAGATCCGAGCCATTTCCCCGGGAGGTGGGGGATGTGCGTACATATAAGGCGAGCCTGAGACCCCCGCTCTCCCGGAGCGCGGGCAGGGGCTCTGAATCCCTAGGACCCTCGCACATGGATGCACACGTCGCTTTCTCGGGTTTCCCAGCCCTGCCCTCGGTCTCGCCGTCGGGGCCGCAGCCGTCGCCGCTAGCAGGAGCCGAGCCGGGACGCGAGCCCGAGGAGGTGGCCAGCAGCCGGGACGCGGAGCCCACGGCCGCGCCGGGCCCGGGGAGGAGGCGCCGGCGGCCGCTGCAGCGTGGGAAGCCGCCCTACTCGTACATCGCGCTCATCGCCATGGCCCTGGCGCACGCTCCGGGCCGCCGCCTCACGTTGGCCGCCATCTACCGCTTCATCACCGAGCGCTTCGCCTTCTACCGCGACAGCCCGCGCAAGTGGCAGAACAGCATCCGCCACAACCTCACCCTCAACGACTGCTTCGTCAAAGTGCCGCGCGAGCCGGGCAACCCGGGCAAAGGCAACTACTGGACGCTCGACCCGGCGGCCGCCGACATGTTCGACAACGGCAGCTTCCTGCGGCGCCGCAAGCGCTTCAAGCGCGCAGAGCTGCCCGCGCCGCCTCCGCCGCCCTTCCCCTACGCGCCCTTCCCGCCCGCGCCCGCGCCCGCGCCGCCCGCGCGCATCTTCCGCCTGGACAGCCTGCTGGGCCTGCAGCCGGAGGCACCGGGGCCCGTGGCTTCCGAGCCGCCCTGCTGCGCCGCGCCCGACGCCCCCTACCCGCCCTGCGCCGCCGCCGCCTCGCCGCCGCTCTACTCGGCCGCGCCCGAGCGCCTGGGGCTGCCCGCGCCGCTGCCCGCCGAGCCTCTCCTGGCCTTGGCGGGACCGGCCGGAGCGCTCGGGCCGCTCAGCCCCGGGGAGGCTTACCTGAGACAGCCGGGCTTCGCGCCCGGCCTGGAGCGCTACCTGTAGCCATCTCCGCTGAGACAGCACCTGGCGGAGCCTCCAGCCATTGCTCGAGCAGAGCGTGCCGGGCTCTGGGGACCACACTCAGCAGTGCGCTCTCTGCTGAGTCCCCTAGCCTTGCCTTGGGCTAAACCTTCCTTGCCCTTCCTCCATCCCTGCGGAGACTCAGACTTCCTCAACACTGGACTGAAGCGACCTCTCCAATTGAGGCCTTCACCCCTCCCTCTACTTGCACGTCCCACCTATGCATCCCCACAGTGCCAAGTTTCATGCTCTGGGACTGGATGGTCACCGGTGGGGTCTCTAGCCCCAAGAATCCTTGTGAGTTCCTGTCTGGAAGCTTTTGTCTCAGGCCACCTACTTGACCCCTGATGTTTTGCTAACGTTAGAGGTCAGACTCCCGTGTTCATGACTTCCACGACAAGTTGGACAAGTTTGTCCCCTATTCTGGCTTTACCTGTCTGCCCTTGGTTTCTTACTGAGCCCCCTCCCACACAGACACACCTGGCTGCTGTGTTCCAGGTTCTGAGGACCGATCTTCAGACTGTTCTAGGTTGCAACATCAGTGTCTCCTGACTGAACCGGGGATTAATGGGCCTCTGTGGAAAGCACAGAACTTACTGGGTTATTGTTATTTTCCAATCAAAGCTAGTTTAATTAAAAAAAGAAAGAAAGAAACAAAACCTTCGCCGGGTTTGTCGTGTTGGCTGGGTAACTTGGAGAGTGGCTGGAAAGGATGGTGGGTGATGTTTGCCTCCTTCTGAGTCCTCAGATAGATTTTCCTGGAGCAGGGTCAAGGTGCGATTCGACATAGCTGTGCACACAGCAGGCCTGAACGAAGTCTGCCAGAAGTCTGCCACCTGCATCTTGTGAATGGCAGAGAGGAAATGGGGTGCGGGAGGGTGAATGCATTTAGAGAGCAGGTTGCCTGATCTTTGAGACCATTCCCAATGCCAAGGATAAGGGAGCACATTAATTTCAATTAATCTAATCATTATTTCTCAGGAAAGTGTCCATTCCTCAAAAGGAAGTCCATGGACTTTTATCGCTGGGAGAAACGCTAGAAATGCAGGATTTCAGGCCCCCGCTACAGACCTATTGAATCATCAGATTATGCATTTTAATAAAATCCTCAAGTAATTAGGGCACACTATGCTGGAGGAGGGGCAATGGCCCAAGCTGACTTAGCCTAAACAATGAAAACTCCCTGCTCCAAGGGATGAGGCTAAATTACAGGCCACCTTCCCTTCGTGTCCCCTGCTGGATTGGGAGAGGGGCAGCAGCATTGACTGAAATGATTCATGATATGCCCAGCACCAAGGACAGGGCGGCAACGTTGCTGCCTCAGAGGTTGAAGAGGGAGGGAGGGAGTTGGGCAGTGACCTTGTCCTGGTCTCAGGTGCTGGCCCAAAAGCGTGCTTTTCCAAGCTCTCAGTCTAGTAGATCTTGACTTGGGGGGTAGGAAAGGGCAGAGGAGAGGATAATGTGTAGCAAGCCCAAGGTGATTGATGTTCCTCTCCTACATTACCAGTATTTGAGGCTACAGGGTGGTGATGGAAGGTGAGGGTGGACAGTGAGCTGCTCATAGGAGAAAGGTGTGTGTGTGTGTGGAAATCTGAGAAGGCCAGAAGGCCCCTTTTAGAGTATGATTTTTTAAAGTGTCTTCTTCTAGCTGTTAACTGCTTTGAGCAAGGATCAGACCCATTTTGCCTGGTGCATAGGGGCCCTTAGTATCTGTGGACTAGCTGACCAGACAGCTGAATCCCTTAGTGTCTAACACTGTGCCTGTTTTAGTGAATACTGAGTATCTTGGCACTTTCTTATTCATTCTTTGGTTATTGTTGTTGTTGTTATTATTATTATTGAGACAGGGTTTTTCTGTGTTGCTTTGGAGCCTGTCCTGGCACTCGCTCTGTAGACCACGCTGACCTTGAACTCACAGAGATCCACCTATCTCTGCCTCCCAAGTACTGGGATTAAAGGTGTGCATGTGCCACCATTCCTGGCTTTGAATACCATTTGTTGCCACACAGATATCTCAGTGCCCAGGATTTAAGGGCACTCAGGGAAATGCTAGCAAGGTCAGTATGAAACTGAAACTCCAGAAAGACATTTTCAGTTTCTTTTTTCTTCCTTCCTTCCTTGCTTTCTCTTTCTTTCTTTCTTTCTTTCTTTCTTTCTTTCTTTCTTTCTTCCTGTCTGTCTTTCTTTCTGTTTTTCCTCCTTTGGACAGGGTTTATACTTAACAGCATCACGAATATGCTGTACCCAATAGAGATACAAACAAGAAAACTTGTGTATGTCTTCAAAGTATTTACAGTCTAGAAAGCCATATACCCTATAGTGCCCTAAAAATTCTGACATTTTAGCAGATGCTGAAAAAATCTAGAATGTAACCCAACTTTCCTATCAAAAAGCCCTGGAGATAGATTGGGAGATGGCTCATCAGTCAAAGTGCTTGCTGTGCAAACACAAGGACCTGAGCTGGGGTCACCAGTGTCACTCCAGTTCTGTGAAGCAAACAGTTAGATCCGGGGTCTCACTGTTCAGTCAGTCTTGATGAAAAAGCTTCATTATCACTGAGAGACCCTGTCTCAATAAGGAGGATGGACCTGGAGAGATGGCTTAGTGATTAAGAGCACTGGCTGCTTTTACAGGGGACTCTGGTTCTACTCCAAGCACCCACGTGGTGGTTCACAATGTCTGTAACTCCAGTTCCAGGGGATGTGATGCCCTCTTCTGGCCTCCTTGGGCACCAGGCATGTAGATAATGGATAGACAAGTATGCAGGCAAAACACTCACCTAATTTTTAAAGGTGTCTTTAAAAAAAGAATATTAGAAGTTGGAGCTGTAGAGATGCCCCAGCAATTAAGAGCATTTTCTGGTCTTAGAGAGGACCTGGGTTCAGTTCCCAGGATGCACTTAGTGGCTCACAATTGTCTGTAATCCCAGTTCCAGGGGATCTGATATCATATTTTAGCCTCTTTGGGCACCAGGCATGCAAGTGTTATCCATACATACATGCAGGCAAAAATACTCATACCCACAAAATAAAATAAAATAAATAATTTTAATCTGTAGGCACACTTTAATGTTTATTTTATTGGTACTGGGGGTTGAACCTAGGGCCTTGCACACGCTGGTCAAGAACTGAACCATTGTACTACTTCTCTAGTCCTTTAATTTAGGCCTTTGTTCAACAGAAATAAGCACATAATGTTGCAAGTCAAATAGCAATCAGAAGCTCACAACTGACATCTTGCATTGCTCTTAAATAGTCTGCATCTAGCCCTACAAATGATAATTCCAGTATAGTTCTCCAAATACAGTTCTCTATGTCATTTTGTTTTTGTTGTTTTCAAGACAGGGTTCCTTTGTGAAATAGTCCTCGCTGTCCTACAACTCACTTTGTAGACCAGGGTGTCTTCAAATTCATAGAGATCCACCCACCTCTGCCTCCTGAGTGCTAGGATTAAAGGCGTGAGCCACCATGCCCGGCTTCAAATACAGTTCTTATTTGTTTTGGAATATATTTCCATGTTTATAATCCTCTCTCTTGAGATGGTAATGAATGCCCTTTCCCCTCTTTTTTCTTTTTGTTGTATTGGGAATCAAACCAGGCCTTGAGCAAGTCAATCAAGTGCTCTGTCACTGAAAATCCACCCTCAGCTCTAACGATTGACTTTCTATTATGACACCTAATTATTTACCTCTAAAATCTCCTCCCTCCTCACTAATTTTGGATTATATTTGTTTTTATAATAACATTTGCATTATTATTCTGTATACTGTATACAGTTTGTTATCTGATAAACCTCGAGTATACAACGTTCACTTTTGTGTACCTAACTATGTTTTTTTGTTTTCATTTGCTCAGGGTCTATCTACTGCTAAATCTCTCTCTTTCTAATAGTACAATTTTCCACAAGACCAAGTATATGAGGAAGTTCATCATTGTTTTTGCTGCATGTCTGCCCTCATGGGGGCAACTCTCCCAGATTTCTCTGTCCTTTGGCTCCAGTCTGGACTGGTGGTTCTCCATGTCTGCTGTACAGATGTTGCTCTGGAATTTCTTTCCACCATCCCTTCATCTCTGTCCTGTGTTGCGTCTTCTGTTTCCTGGATTCCATATCTTCCTTTTTCTTTGTTTATTTCCTTGCTCCAGTAGAGGTAAATTGTTTTGGAAACCACATATCTAAAATTAAGATGATTATTTTAACACGAGAAGCTAAATATGCACTTTGACCGTGAAATAGTTGAGTCAAAGCTGTGTTTCCGTAGGCTTTCACTGGGGGAGGGTGTAGGGATTGAGGGAATCAGAGGTACTTCCTCAATTTAGTATATGTTTTACCTTCAAGGAAGCTGGAAAGATAGCTCAACATGCTGGTGAGTGTTTTCAGGAAGATGAACCATTGAGAAATCTTTATTTATTATTGTTGCTGTTGTTGTTGTGTGTGATGTATATGTGTGAGCGCTAGTGCCAGTGTGTATGTGTGTGTGTGTGTGTGTGTGATGGTGTGTGCATATGCCTTAGTATGTATGTGGAGATCAGAGAACAATTTTTAGAAGTCATTTTTCTCCTTCCATCATAAGTTGTGGGGATCAAACTCAGGTCATCAGATTTGTATGGCAAGCCCTTTACCCACTGAGCCATGTAGCTCACTTGAGGAGCCCAGAGGAAAGGTACTCAGAGATGCCTCCTGATCTAGGAGACTTGGAATTTGGGGACGGGGAAGGGTGGCTTTGTACTTACGATGATATCAAGCTAATTTGAGGGCCTGCAGATTCAGCTCAAAAAAGACACTAACATTATCCTTACACATGGAAAACAGTGCATAGAAAAGTGACACCCTTGACAATGGCCTGACGATTGTGTCAACAGAAAAGTTCCTTCAGGCAATTGTCAGATCTCTGGATGTAATTTGGGTTTACTTAAGAAAGAATAATGAGTAAAATGGAGGGCCCTCCCCTGGTGTTACTGGGTTATTTAAGCTCATGTGAAGTATCTCTCTGGGAGATGCTAATAATG